CTGAAATCGAACTCGCCCCAGGTCGAGGCATACCCGCCATTCGAGTCCGTGGGGATGCTGCCTGCAGCGGCCGCAAAGCCGCCGTTGGTGTCGTCGTCAAAGGCGACGTACTTGGTCTCTCCGGCGTTGAGGGTGAGAGTCAGAGCGGCGTTGCCGTACCAGCCGGTCATCTGGCCATCGGGGCCGATCTTATTCCAGAAGACGATGGTCCAAGGCTCGCTGTTCTGGCCGCTGATCTGGGCGACGTTCTTGTAGTTGGAGGCCGAGTCGGCGGAGACTTCGATGATGTTGCTACCCCATGGGTTGCCGACGTTGCCGGCGTAGGTCTCGCCGCTGCCGCTGTTGGAGGTGCGGCTGCCGAAGCCAGCGGTGGAGTAGGAGCCTCCGGCTGGGGTGCCGGTCCACCCGGAGCTGCCGCCGGAGGAGGATGATGAGGAGGAGGGAGCGACTGTGGAGGAGGCCGAGGGGGCGTACTGACGGCGCTCGTGGCCTTGCAGACGGGCCAGAGAGCTGGAGGTGAGGGCTGCCAGCAGCAGGAGAGACTTGGTGAACTGCATTTTTGAAGAGAGTGGATGTCGCGTCAAGCGTGCTTCAGATGTAGAAGTCCGAAGGAATGGCGGTGTCGTTACTGACTGGAGCAACAACGAAAGTGATAATTCGAAGAGAGCGTCTGAAGTATCAAGCCAAAAGAGAATGAAGGAATGGAAGCGTGAGTACACACGGTTAATGAATGCGATGGTTGAATGGGAGAAATCTAGAAGGGACCCTCTCACGCCCTTTTATAACATTCTGAAAACAAAAAATTTAATGCCCGCCACTCCACTGTTTGTCAGTCGAATGTGTGTTCTCGAACACCCATGGCGCTGGTGGATGTCATTTTCCTTGGTTCGAGAGGTTGAACCTATGGATAGAGTCTTAGGATTGAGGATGATTGATCAGGGAATGCGTCAGCATGGGCGAGTTGATGGGACTGGGGTTCCGAGAAAGATACTGCCATGGTCTAGATCCATGCGGTCGTGTGCTCGTTGACATCCTGACAGTAGCCTATTGGACAGTTCGAATGAAAACACAGACAGGACATCTCTGGTATTGTTGTGGGATTGGCCAGAATCTATGGGTGGTACCTGAGTTGTACGCCATTTCAACGCCATTGGCTACTTCCCCTGACCAGTGGTTCTGTGTGGGACTCTGGCTCTGCAATACATGGAGTCTGGTTGTTGGAGGCAAGTTGCGTGGCTCTGGAGGTCGGATTATTTTTGGTATGCCTTTGTGTTGATTGTTTCTTTTTACTATGCTTGCGTTTCAACATCAAGAGACAAAGAACATGAGATTCATCATTGTGCGGTGAAACCTACTCAAAGGACAAAGAGCATATCCCCGGAGGTCTAGACTTTTGGACCTCGTGGCCAAGTGCCGGGAAAGGATCAGATCCCTCAAACGGATATTGGCGAAAGTGGAAAGAATAACGATATCAGAAGGGCCTAAAGTCTTGTGGGTGGAGCTCACCTCCACCATTCTCTGTCGCTAGGAGAATTGTAGCTACGTATTGAGGTCTTTCAGTCGCTTCCTAGGCTTTCCCATGCTAGTCGACGAAGGTCGAAACACAGACTCGTAGCCTATGTGCCATATGAGCATCCAAAGACAAATTCATTGTTCCCTGCTTCACGGGGCCTTTTTGATACTGTCCCTATCCGTGGCTTCTCAAAAATAGGATTTCCCTCAGAACTCCCACGAGTCCCTCAATCCATGTGCTTTGTGTGCAAGCTGGCCGAACCGTGGTTCCCTTCTTCTGGGCAGGGGCAGAAACACAAAAAAATGATGTTTTACAATGAGGTCAAACCATGAGTGGTCAGCCGTTGTGACTAAGCAAGGAGGATCATTGACATTTTCACCAATCCCGTTACAATCCATCTGCACTTCGTCAACAGGCGAACAATGAACCATGGGATGTTTTATTGACACCTTTCAAAAAGGGCATTGGCCCTTTTTTGTGGTGGCTCATGCAGGCAGCCGCTGTCGTAAGGCATACGTCTACGCTAGCAAATTCTCGGTGAAAAAAATTATAAAGAAGAAACTGTATCTCCTAAATAGGTTATGATTGGCATATTTATTATTAACAAACAATAAAATTCAATACTTCAAGTCGAGTATTGGCCCTAAAACTGCCAGATCAATGGCTCATACCAAGAGCAAGGCCATTTGACCCAGCTCATATCACACTAGAAGACTGCGTTATTACCTCTGCACTCATTCTCGCCTCGTGTAATCGCCGAGGCTTCGTCGACTTTGCGCGAAGAATGACCGACGGAGTGCCTCTCGTCGGTAGTATGACTGCCGAACTCAGTGCTGCCGAGAGCTGGATAGTGGAAGAATTATCTTCCCTGGTATACAGTAAAAACCCGAGAATGATAGAAACAGAATATTGCCAGCTATTATTCATCAAAATTAAGAGAACAGTCCTCTCCTGCCTCGCACGTGTAAAAGCGATACCGTTGTTCTAGAATACTTTACCTTCGCGGGGAGGTCAAATATCTCGTTGTACACACAATGTTGAGATCGCAGTCTAGAAAAATTGTTGATCTAGAACCTCGAAACTCGATGTGACACCCTGAATCCAGCAATCTCTGCTATGGCCTTTACCCCGGATGCTCAAGAAGCCATACCACAGAGCCATGGCGGCCCGCAGATGGGTTATGCTTAGTTTAGTCTACGGGGCACTGGGGACGCCCACATTTGCTTCAAAATAGCCTGGGAAATTAGGGTGACAAATTTGATGTTTATACAGTTCTTCACAGTTGATTGAAGGTGGCGCGAGTGGCTAGAATGCATCTATCCGGAAGATAATGACATCAACCTCACTTGCGGTCAGTCGCTTACCGAATAATTTGAACAGTGTGATGGCAACATTTGCCAGCTCATCCTGCACTTATAGCCAGCAATATTAGCATGTTGGAATTATTTCAAAGAATTCGCCGTTGTCATCAGATACTGGTTGGTGAGTCAATCAAGGCATCTCGGGGTCCTATAATCTAACTGTAACCATGTCTAAATGACAAACATATCGCCCCTTTCCTCCATTAGAACAACGATGTTACTTAAAACCGCCCCCAACTTCAGATGTAACCTTATGCATTTCCTAAAAGGGAAATTGGTATAGAGACAATGCGATCGGCATTGCTGACATAATCACTTGCACGATGCCACAGACGTCAGACTTACTCGACGGTCGACACTGCAAGCTGGCGTCTGTGGACGAGATTATCTGACCATTCCATACTCGTGCCTGTTGCCGGTACTGGCCGAATTGCTCGCAGGCATCTACCGAGATCGACGCACTGAGGTAACATGCCGAACCGACGCTAAGACGACTCTGCTACGATGCTTGCCAATGAAATCACTCCTATCATTCAGATCAAACAGATCGGTGTCGCACCTGTCAGGCTAGCTCGAATTTGGGCCACATAGAAGAGTTGCCGCTTTTGATTGGCTGTGTGCATGATGGCCAGGACTGCAGAATTACCCGTTTGAGAAACTGGTCGATTGGCATCAACGTGCTGGTTTTGATGATGATTTTTGGAAGAAGATTATGTCTGCGGCAGGCAGGGCAACCCGCTTGCAAAAAACTGAACTATTTAAGCAGCTCCATTGCCGGCTGACTCGATAGACGCAAACGGTCACCTTTCAGCTCTCCCGAACCACAGACAAACAACCGCAAGAGCAACAATGGCTGTCCTTAAGAGCATCACCCTGACTTCCCTGGCCCTCGCTATTGGCGCCACCGCTCAGTCCGCCAACCCAGGTGTCGGCAAAAACCCTAAGGCGCAAGGTGCAACAGAAAATGTCACCCCAAGCACCGGCCCAAACGGGTACCATCCCTTCGCCACGTCTTATCTTTAGTGCCATTGTTGCTAATAGCAAAATCTAGATCTGAAGACTGGCTCAACACCGGCATCACCACCACCGGCTGGAACCCTCCCTTCCTCTCCATCGACGACGTCTACACCATTAGCCTTCAAGACTTCTACAACGGCATTGGTTCCGCCTGCGCCCAGTACGACAGCTACTTCCAAAGCAGCGCATCCAAGTACGGCGTCAACCCGGTCGTTCTCGCCGTCATCGCTATGCAGGAGTCCTCATGCAATGCCAACGCTGGGGGTCCCACACCGGGCCTGATGCAGGTCTCGTGCGATAATTACCCGAATGGCCAATGCACGGATAGTATCCAGGATAACGTGGACGCGGGAACGCACTATCTCAAGTCGCAGCTTGATGCGTCGGGGGGTAACGCGATTAAGGCGCTGGGCTCATACAATGGGTGGTTTGCGGCAGGATCCGGGCTTAATGGGAACAGAGGTTTGACGAAGGACTACCCCTGCTCGGCTGAGGGTAAGGCGCATGGCATGCCGCAGAACCTGGATTACTTGCACCAGGTGCTGAATGGGTGGATGATGGGATTGGATGTTTATGGGGAGGATAACTGGATTGGTACTTATCACTGTGATCAGTCCTGCAGTGATGGCAGTTTATGCTAGAACTGTTGGGAATGTTGCAGGGGTGAAGATGCTTGAGTATCCTGCAGTTGATACGGAGTTGTGTGAGGGGTCACCGCATGTTGGACATATGCGAATGCATCCACAGCGGTATTGGAATCGGATCTCCCACTGTTGGAAGGCTAGGAACCGGTGCGAAAAGAAACAAGCTGAATCAGCCGTGGGGTTAGAGATGGCAATCTACATGGCTAAGTGGAAGGATAAATCCATTAATTAATCTGACGTTTAGGATTCTTTACAGTGGCAGTCCAACTAGGTCTAGAGACTAGAGAAACAGTCCAACCAGATAATATTTAACTTGTTCGCCGTGCTTTTGAAAAATGCGCGAAGAATCTAAGGGAGACCCAACGGATGGGAATCTTTCAACCATTGGCACATATTGCTCGGCTCTGTGTAAACTACTCACTGCGCCGAGGAGGCCTTACTGCCAATGAAATACTCTGCCCACAATCACAGCTCAGGTAGACCCTCGAAGCCAAACGGCCAATGTGGTGCCCGTATCGTCCTTCTGACTGAAGAATAAACATTTTTCGCCTGCTCAAATGCGCCCAGCGCATCACCTCTCTCTTGGCCATCCTGCGACGGACCCATTGACAAAAAGCCATATCGGTTATCTCTATTCAGCAAGTCCGCTAGCGACTGCCCTGCACCGTAGCTGGACAGAGACGACAAGCCGGGCTGCTGCAAGTTAAGATCACTAAAGGCGTACTCGCCATCTTTGAGAACAGGCCGAATGTTGTCTCTGGCCGCAGAAGAAGGTACCTGGTCCGACTGATCGTCCGTGTCTCCTGATGTAAGCAGGTTCATTGCGCCCTCCTTTGCCTTGCCCTTTCCAAAGCGCTTGGCCTCACTTTTCATTGCATTCACGAAGATCTTCTTGACGGTTTTCTTCGTAAGCCTTTCTGCCGACCCTTTGCCTACCTTGGTGATTGTCGCTTTGCCAGCACGGCCAAGGGCGGTTTTAACCCCCGTCTTAGCGACTTTGAATCCCTGCTTCAAACCCTGTTTACCAGCCTTTCCGGTGAGACCACCCAATGCCCCGCCAAGTGCATCCATGCCGACACTTTTCCAGGTGATCTGGTTCCCATCCAACGCGTCTCCAATCATTCCCGTTGCAACCTCGGTAACAATGCCAACCGCGACACTCACGCCGATCTGGACTGCCAGAGACGCACCACCCGTGAGAACTCCGAGAACAACGCTGGCTGCTATTCCTGCAATGGCGGTGATCAAATCCTTCCAACCGAACTTGATGCCAAACAAACTGAAATGCCCACTGGGGTCGACGCGGTTGATCGGGTCGCCCAAACAGTAGGCGTACGGATTTATCTCGCCGGAGGTGAAAGGGCTCCACGGGTCAGGCTGGTGGAAGCGCATGAGAACTGGGCTGTAGACGCGATACCCGTTGCCTAGGTGGTACCAACCAGTGACTGGGTCACGCCATTGTCCATTGAAGCCGATAGATGATCCCGTAGCGCCGAACCCATATGGTGTATACTGCTGGCAATTGATCTTACCTGGCTGGTCCGTATCTAGCCAAGCAAGTACAGACTGGTGGCCCTCCGAAGCAAAGACCTGGCTTGATATGTTTGCACCTTCCTTGACAAGTTGTCCCCAATACCCTTCGTCGTCCGCTAGGTAGCTTACCTGACGGTCTCCCGCTTTGACCGCAATCAGCTTGTCCCCACGGTAAAAGAACCAGGTATCAGGCTGGTCAGGAACTTTTTGACAGATCAGCCTTCCGACGGCATCGTACTCGTATTGACTTAGGATCTTGTCATTGTCATCTGCATCGCGGACCGCGATCAAGCGGCTCATGCTGTCGTAATCCAACTTACGGCCCTCTTCATCTTGGATTAAACAGCCATTATCATCATATACCAGCTCGACATGTGCAGCAGAGCTGGCATGGGTGTTTGTGATCGTGGCCAACTGAGTCGGGTCTGTTTCGCTTCGTGTATACTTGGCAATATTTTGGCTCTCGTCTTGAAAGGTAGTGGACACCTCGCAGACATTGTCAAACTCGTCAAACTTGAAGTTCTGGCTCTTAATCCGGCGGCCTTTCTCATCTGTAGGCGCATCACTACCCTCGCATGTATAGCCAGTGAGACGGTTAAGGTCATCATATTCAAAGGTCTCAGAGCGTAACACATTGTCATCACCGTCACGCTGATGACGCTCCTTAAGTAAGCTGCTCTCGTTGTAAGACTGTTCCAGCTGGTAGAGCTTTTCCCCTGCTTTCAGAATCGTTCTACCGATTTCCCGGCCGAACTCATCATGAGTCAAATCAGTCGCGAACCCAGTATTACGCTGCTCATCCTGGACCTGCGTCTGCGTCACTCTGTTCGTCTTGTCATAGGCAAAGGAGGCCTTCAGCGTGCCCTGCAGTAGTTGGTTGACTCGTCCGTGGGTGTCATATTGGGCTTCATATTCCTGGTTGTGCACATTAACGTAGCCTTGTAATTTCCCGGCCATGGAGTAAGTGAATTGTGCACAAAGCTCTTCTCCATGAATGCGAATGGTCTCTTTGTCCAAGAGACCCGAGGGGAGGTACTGGAGGTTGTGCGTGCTGTGAGTAGACTCGAGAAGTACCGGTGCCCCGGTCCGCTCGTCATATTGATATTTATCCTCGCTTCCACTGCCGGTGCGAGATGTGAGGGAATAGCCCAGGTTCGGGTCATAGGTGAAGTTCGTTTGATCGCCCTTTTGCGTAGTCATCTGCTTTGGCTCCGGAGAGCTTCCTTCGTAGGTTTGATCTACGGTTCGTGTGCCAACAATCCTCTTGGTTACTCGGTTCAGGCCATCAAAGGATTGCTCTCCCACGGTGAGGCCATTTGTAGTAATAGAGACAGGTAGTAGCGCGGCGCTCTTGGCTGAAAATTCAGCACTAATCACACGGCCGCTAGACCACGTTGTTTCAGTGATGCGGTCAAACGGGTCAGGTGTGTACTTTGTGACGCGGCCACAGGCATCTTCTTCTTCAACCAGACGGCCGAGGCCATCGTAAAAATACTCCACCTTGCTTAGCACTACACCGTCCTTGGTTAATAGCTCCATCTTGGTGGGCAAGCCGAAAGAGTTCAAGTATGTCTTGTTCTGACCTTCGCCCTCCAAGCCTTCCGTTCGTGTCAAGCTGATCGGATCGTCCAGTGACATAGTCACCGTGCCACTGCTATCAGTCGTTCGCCAGACCTCTCCCCAGTCGTCATACTGCGTCGTTTGGACACTACGCTGTTCTGTTGGTGATGCACCTTTTCTTCGCAACCAGTCGATCTCGACGGTTTCGGTGCGCTGGCCCAGAGCGTTATACGTGTTTTCCTGCACCGGGCGAAAGGTCCCCGTGTAAGGCGTACCGGGACTCCAGGAAACATCGTCGTCTTGCTTCTCCACCCTGGTTACTCGCTCTAAGCCATCGATGTAGTAGTGTGTCTGGACACCTTTAGAGTCCGTGACGGTCAAATAAGCTTCGAAGTCCTCCTTGAGCGTGTATTCGTGGTGGCGTGTACTTTCCTGCGGGGTACCAACCGCGGTGGTAGCTCTGACCATACGGCCAAGCTTGTCGTACTCGAACCGGTCTTGAATGCCGGCTTGGTCTCTGCGGGCTAGCACGGACCCGGTAGAGAGGGAATAATTGGCCTTTTCCTGGACAGTGACACCATCCCAACTGGTTGTAGTGATGGTCTGTTCCATCTGTCCGCGGACTGGATACTCATAGCTCCAATCCTGCGTCGAAGGGTGGTCGTCCGACATCCAGGTAGCTTGGCGCTTTATCCGGCAGTGGTCCCTGGAGGATGGCTGGCTGAAGTACTCGTATTCGGTGGTGTTTAGGGTCGTGGATCCCTCAAAACTGACCAGCGTCTTAACTGCGATAAAACGGCTAGCCTTGGCACCGCTGGCCGTATTGATCCCGAGATATGTATAATGCTGGCTGCGTGTCGGCGTTGAGTAACTGCTTGGCCCTGGGATCACAGTCTCTGTCCTCAGATGCCGCTGGAAGCCATGAGGGTCCTCTGGGCAAAGAATCTCATTTGTAGTGGTGTCCCTTGCTTCGTCGGGTGGATAATAAGTACGGTTGATCGTGATGCCGTTCGATTGGACTTCCTGAGTGGGATTACCCCATATATCAAAGACGTAACTGGTAGTTTCCTGGCGAGACTTCTTGGTCACATTATCGCAGTAGGTTGTGGTCTCACTCTTGGGCAGCTGGTATTGTTCTACTTGCTCATCAAAGCCAGCGTACAGGTCTGCATAGTAGGTGAAGGTTTGTGTTTTCGTTTTGGTCCCGGTCTGCTCCTTGATCGAGACAGGGAGGTGGTATTTGTTATATGTATACTCCGTCATTGACCCACCCACGATCTGCACAGTCGAAATGTACTGATAATTACTCGCGGACAGATACAAGTTATCGCCATCGCTGCTCCAATCGCGGGTGCCGCCATATCCTAGGAAATTATAGTCCGAGTATGAAAAGTGTGTCTCAGTTTGCGCCTGCGGTAGCCCGGGGTCCACTAAGTGAGAAATAACATAAGGGATTGTTGGATAAGGTGCATTTCTCGGCAGGGAATGGCCATCCTCTTTGTAGTTGATCCTTTCGTAAAGGCCAGTTGGACTGGTAATCTCGTTCAGGCAGGCGAACTGATTCATGAACTCATACGCGAATTTCCAGGGCCGCGTGCTGTCCAAGGGGGTATGGATCTCGGTCAACCGATCATGGGACAGAAGAAGGGTGAAGGTACTGGCTTCGACAGTATCTGGTGCACGAGTAACCTTCACCTCAGCATCGTCATACGTAATCTCTAGCAGACACTCGTTGCCATCGCAGACCTTCCTGAGTCGAGGTTGTACTCCTTTGGGCTCCCACTCAAACTGCAGCGAGCGACCGGTAGGGGCGTACAGTGCGATGGGAACCGATCGGTCATACAGATCTTCGAAATGCGAGAGAATCTCGACATCTCCGGATTTATGCACAACTTCATAGTCATTATTGACCTTCGTGGCATGGAAGTTCCTCAACTTCTGATCCAATACGGTAAATTCTTGACTGGTCTCGATGACTTTGAAGCTCTCCCCGGTGAAGAGACGGAGGGTTTTATCTCTATATGACGAAAGGTTGAGAGACCAGCCCCTGCCTAAGCCCACATTCTCGGTACTAAGTGGACTGTAGCTGAGCGAGAGCTTGAAGGGTGGGCAGTTGCGAGACTCAGAAGGCGATTGATAAAGGTCAATGGAGCAGGTATATTGACCAGTTCGCGGGTCCACGCCCTTCTGTAGAAAGGACCCAAAATTGAATCCCTGGGAATATAACGAGTTCTGAGAGGCAGACATATTTGGATGGAGTATGGGAAGAAAGGGAAATGGGATGCGTAATGTTGGGCCTATTTATGCCAAGCGCGATGCTACACATCTGGACCATATGGAGCTGAGTGAACTTTCCTTTCCGGGGATCAGAGGAGCTAGGGCACCGCAGCATGCTTCTCTGGAGTGGTGAGGGGACTCTGATCGGGGTCACCGATCGTGCAGTCCCTACGCGCCTATGCAAGCTGCATCACTTCGCGTCGAACCTTGGCACTGAGGGGAGTCATGACACCAAGGTCCCAGCTGCTAACATGCGCATGCATTAGGTATGGACCCCATTACCATTTGGTCCAGGATGTATTAACGCCTTGGCAATTCACTGCAACTTCAGCTGCGCCATCACGCCTCTCCCTTCAGCTCAGCTGGTTGCCATCTTCTGCTTTGGCGATGAGGTATTTTTGCTATTGGCACCAGCGCTCCCTGGTTTTTGCATCCCCAGTCACTTTGCCCTACCCGGCAGGTTATTCGCTGGAAGGGAGAACGTAATCTCTAAAATTGATAAATGGAAAATGCAACCAAAGTTAAATATATGTCTCTAACGTGGACCTCCTTCTGCTTCCCTCGTTCCCATGGTCTCCAGTTCTCTCTCCTTCACTGAACCTTACACAAAGAAGCCACCTCATTCCGCATTCCACCTGCGATTGCTTAACATTATTTGCCAACTTCAAGATGTCGTGGACCGTCAATTCGATCAAGGTCGAGTCAAGAAGTGGTTCGACTTCACTCAGTATCTTCGCCAATGGGAGGATGCAGGCCCCTGTTTACGTTTTGCTCGAAGCGCGGAAGGACGGCAAGCCATACCAGTTGACTTCAAACGATCTGACTAGAGTCAAGATAACGAATTATCATACTGATGAACCTCTTTCTGGGTCCTTTCGGTATTCATCCACTGATCTTGGTTACACTGCCCCCTTTCCCTCGTCATCCAAGAGCGACAAGACCGTCGATGAGAGCCATGAGCAAGCGGAAGACCGTCTGATTTCCGCCTACCAGACCCATACACTGTATGTTTTCTCAACGCAGATCGGGGACATACGGATCGGCGCAAGCATTCTACAGCCCGATAACGTGCTAGTTACTACACGATCGGGCAGCAATGACAGTAGCATTTACATCGACGCGAAGCCTCGTCCATACTACACTTTGGATGATGTAAAGTTCGAGCGAGAAGACACGGCTGATGGGGCTATTCACGGATCGATAGGTTCTTTTCCAGTATCACTCAAGTGGGACCAAGACAACTACTACCTTACCAGCAAGAAATATCCATTCAAGATGGCCAGTGTTTATGGCACTCAGCAAAACGGACAGGGTGAGGTTGGCAAGCAGCATTGCTATGCTATTGTGGAGGATAACACAGTAACAAACTGGTGCTTTGTCTGGCCGATGGGCTCCGCGCAATCCAAGAAAGTAGGAAGCGCTACATCGGCAATAGGAGAGGCTTATGCCAACATCCGGGTCAACCAAAAGGGGGAACATGTGTTGACTGTCACTCGCTGGAAGATCCAGGGTAAAATGGCTGCTTGGCCGCCCGTTTGGAGTTACTGGTGTTATTTCGACATTTATGATATCTACGGCAACGAGAAGAGATTCTACCTGGATAGATCGGACCGTCACAATCTTCTCCACTTGAAGGAGAACCAACCATGGAGCCAGGCAGCTGTTTCCGACAATGGGCTTCCTCTTGACGGTCATTCCCTTGAAGCTGGCTTTGAGCCAGTTCCACTTGGACCGGATGGCACACCAGACCTCGAAGCGCTTGGTATGAAGCCATCTGCTTGAGTGCTCTGTACGTATAGCGGGAGCTCTTTGCCTTGCATCTGCGGAGAGATTTCATGCTACAATCGTGGATGTTATTTTCTTTTTTCTACTTAATATCTTTCTCAGAATCAATGACTACAGTGTAAATGCCTCTTCGTATCAGTGTGCTCAGCGTACGTCCCTCACAGTCCAATACGACACTAGATTTCCTGTGCCACCAATAGACTTGATTCCGGCGTTGCGTGCTCCACTTACCAGCATGAGCATCGGCCTCCTTCAGCTCGCTACGTCCCTGGGCCGGAATGGACCGCCTGATACCGCTTGATTGGCAGCGGTCTTCTGTAATATCATAGGTAGTATCCTGCGGCCCATCGAGTGGGCAACGGTCAGGTTTGCGCCGATATTACTAAAGCGGCTACAGCCTTGGCATCCCCTTGAGACTTTTAGTGTGGTGCTTGAGCAAGCAGATCGAGATTACTCTCTTCAGTATACGTAATAGGAAACTGGTAATCCACGTCGCGTCATGATCCAATTCTGCCAAAATTCACCGCCTTATCGTTATCACGCGCTAGCCAAGAGGCATGCTCCCATTTTACCGTGCTCTGAGGCGGCTAGAAGGGAAATTGCCTTAACAATGCGCTTTGGGGAATGAGGGCCGAAAGTGGTGAATCTCACGTGACTGAGAAGTAATCACGGTCATGTGAGTCGACGAGGCTTTTTCGAACCGATGAATATCTGTCTGTCGAGCTGTGTCTTTTCCAACCACTCCCTGTAGTGCATAGCGGTTCGGTAACACCTTTTTGCATTCCTCTACAAGATCTAGAGATTCCCAAACCAACATACATCACTGTTTGTTATCCACGAGGAGACCTTGACGGGGGCCAACCATGCAAGCGGACTCTCCAAGTCGAGCAGACGGTGAGTCAAATTCAGTATCGGATCGGACAGGAGAAAGAGAGGCCCGGAGGTGGGGAAGGACAAGATCAGGATGCCTGAACTGCCGGAAGAAGCGGAGGAAGTGCGATGAGGGAAAACCAACGTGTATCAGGTGCCGGAAGAGAGGTGAGAGCTGCCAGTGGGGGATGCGAGTCACGTTCCGGGAAGCAAACACGCAGATGCTGGTGCACGACCCACGGCAGTCGAAGAATCGGACGCACAAATCCTTTCAGATTATGGATGTTACCTCTGAGGTGATACGGGACTATCATCAGTCTTCTCCCGTTGGTGCGGTCCAGCATCCTCGACTTGATCGGGGATCTGCCACACCGCTGCACCATGCGCAGGACCCAGGACGGCGTGAAGAAGAGGCCGGGTGCGACCTACCCAAATTCAGCGCAAGCGCCTCGCAGCCTCTTAATTCTGATGATTCCGAGCTTGCTTCAGAAGACCTTTCGATGGGTCGCGAGCTTCCCACGCATTCGTCTCCGGACCACTCTGGGGACGCGGCAAATGCAAAGCTATCGGGCCCTGGAGGCCGAACAGAACTGAGTCAGTCCACCGCTGCCGGGAATTTAGTGGATAGTAATCCGTGGCTACAGCAAGTGCTGCACAAATCGCCTGCCGTGTTCGCTCCTGGTTCAGGCCTTGATGCGAACACCTCCCCTCTCCTGCAACGCTTTCCTGAATGTTGGGATTCCACTAACTATTCCCCTGATGTGGGTCTCGAGGATGGCGTCTTCCTGCCAGGTTCCGACTATCTTGAGCTGCACTCCACCCTGAGGAGCCATCTCATGCAGGAAGCGCGATCCCGTTACCCTTCTCGGCGAAACTCTACCGACAGCGCGGGTCCAGCTCGATCGAGTCTCGGGCGCGAAGGTTTCACTACGGTCCCGATTCTACAGCTCAGAGACTACGAAGATTATAGCCTGATGTCCAACAACCAAACCCCCGTGGATCTGCCCAAGGAGGTGGAATATGTTTTGTGGAAGAACTGGCTGGAAGAGATTGCCCCGTGGCTGGACAAGTTTGACAGTCAACGCCATTTTCAATATACCCTTCCAGTGATGGCGCAATCCCACGAGCACCTCCGGTACGCCATGTTAGCTGTATCTGCCCGCCAGCAAGAGCAGAAAGACAAAACATTGCCCATCGAGCGCAGTTTAATGCTCTACCATAAAGCCATCCAGCTTCTCCTCCCACAGCTTCCCACGAGGACCACCGCGGTGATCGGGTCTTGCGTTGTCCTGTGTGTGCTGGAGATGCTCAGCTGTGCCCCGAAAGCCTGGCGACGGCATCTCGACGGATGCGCACACTTGATGCAAGCAGTGGGTATCAATGGCTTCGTCGGAGGTGTTGAGCAGGCACTCTTTTGGTGCTTTGCCCGGATGGACGTATGCGGCGGCTTGATTTCCTCCATCAAGACACTGATCCCGGTCAACCATTGGGCTTCCATGATTGACCTCGATACGGACATCAGACTCTTTCAATCCATATCTACCTTTGAAACCTGCGCAAACCAAGCCGTCTACCTCTGTGCGCAGACCTTGGATCTCCTGGCGCCATCCCACTTGCTAGGACGAGCGGCGAGTGTGCGGTGCGACCCCAGCGACACAGCCTACATGGAACGATGGTTGAAGCTGTGGCGTTATATGGAAGACTGGCACGTCAAACGGCCGAAAGAGATGAAACCGATCGTCAACCTTCCCTCCACTGATCCATTTCCCACCATTCTTTTCAGCAATGCAGCGGCAATCTCGGGAAATCAGCTCTACCACACCGCGGCAATATTACTCTTGCAGTCCAAGCCGACCAATGTGCGACTAGACCCCAAGCCACGCTCGATCCTGTGGCATGCCCGCCAGATTTGTGGCATCTCCATGAGCAATGACCATCACGGTGCGTGGACCAACTCGATCCAACCGCTGTGGATTGCCGGCCAATGGATGAGCCACCCGAGCGAGCATCAGGCAATTTTGAGATTACTTGAGAAAATTGAACAAGAGTGTGGTTGGCCCACCAAGTGGCGGGCGGTCGATCTTCAAGAGTTTTGGGGAGATTTGTCGCAATAATATTATTTTGCCATCCGGTGTAGCTGTCTGTCCCGGGTGTAGCAGGGCGATTAGTGTTACACCTGATCTGAGCTATTTACCGTAGGCTCCAATGAGTCCTCTGGCAACGCTTACCGAATCGATCGAGGTATTTCTGCCTCCTTCCTTAGTTCCATCAATTGGTGACCGAGGAGATGTGCTAGAAGTTTAAAAAAGCAAATGATGCTTTCTGCATTTTATTGACTATAGAGTGCAAAATGCATTATATGTTACATTCGTGATCGTTATCTAATGGCGCACCGGATTCAAGTCCCTGAATTCACCTCGCAAGGTCTCAATCCCGTCCCGCTGAACCTCGTCCACGAGCTTTGCCACCTCTGGCGCAATCACATGCTCATCGAATCCAAAGTACTTATATGCTGCAGCACCAGGCAGGGAATGTCCAAATGTGCTCATTGTGAAGCCCGCATCGGCGTATCTCTCCCACCCGGTCACTGCATATGCCTCAATAACGACACAGGGGATTCCGGACCGATATCTCAAGACCTCCCTCCTGTATTCTTGGTCCTGCTGTGCAAAAAGACGCTGACATGGGAAACTCACAATGCGAGACTTGATGTTGAAACGGTCCAGCAGCAGCTGTCGCGTTCGCACTGCAAAAACCATCTCAGCACCCACACCAATCAACGTAACTTGAGCCTGCTCATCTTCGATGAAAACATATGCGCCCCGCTGGACCCCTTGTCGGGAGGAAAATTTCGGGTATTGCTCCAAGTTCTGCCGGGACAGCGAGATGATTGTCGGCGTGGATGTTGCTTGCAATGCTGCGATAAAAGCCCCAGCCGTCTCTTCACTATCACAAGGCCGTATGTAGAGAATATTCGGCATTGCACGGTACAGCGCTGCCAATGCAATGGGCTGGTGCGTAGGCCCATCCTCACCGGTGCCAATCGAGTCGTGAGTCGCGATATGGATCTGCTGGAGGCCTTGAAGTGCCCCCATTCGGATGCCTGGGGCCGCATACTTGCTGAGTGTGAGCAACCACTGCTTGGACTAAACGGGACATAGTTTAATGGTTTCGCTTACAATGTAGAACATAAAGAAACTGGAGGTTATGGGCAGGATGGTTCCTTTGTTGAAGGCTGCTAGTCCGTTTGAGATTGAAGCCATGGCATGTTCCCGGATACCCCAGTGGATATATCGCCCAGTGTAGTTGCCATTTAGGCCACAAGTTGTCTTGAGCTCCGGCTGGACAAAGCAGGTTGATTAGTAAATGATGAATATTCCTGGGGACAGGGCCGTGGCTTACATGCTGGAAATCGACCTTGCCCTTCCATGCCATGTTTACCGAAGGAGTCAGATCGGCAGTGCCCACCATGATGTTCTGGAGCTTTGACGCCAGGGGATTGCAACAGAGACCGGCAGACTTTCTGGAGGCTGTTGGAGATGCGGGGAATTCTTCTTTTGACGGGATGAGCTTTGTCCAGTCCTGGGTCATCTTTCCTAGCATTCTCAACCTGAACTCCTCGTACATCTCCGGATACTCCATCGAGTAATTGAGCAGGAGCTGATTCCAGCTCTCCTCCAGGGCTCGGCCTCTTACTCCAGCGTCACTGAAAAACTGATATACTTCGACAGGGACAGCGAAATGCTCATCTGGGTTCATTCCAAGTTTCCGCTTGATGTTCGCGACCTCGTCCTCGCCGAAGGCGGCACCGTGCGCCTTGGCGTCGCCGGCGAATTTGCTCTCGACGCCAATCACGGTGTGTACGTTGATAAAGGTCGGTTTCTCTTTGCCGGACCGGGCACGCATGAGGGCAGCAGTGATCCCTTCTACATCATAACAGCCATCTTCAACGTCGATCACATCCCAGCCACATGCTCTCATTTTGGCGTTGATGTCCTCAGAGTTGCAGATGTCCACACTGCCATCACACGTCACCTGGGGTTCGTAATCTTGTCAGTATCAGTACGGCCATGTCTGAAATACGGAGCCAACGCTACCTGGTTGTTATCGTAGATGATGACCAAATT